GAAGGCACGCGCGCGCCGTGCCATCGCACGAGTGCACCCGCGGGGGCCGTGGCCATGAACTTATGCGCTGCGAAGCGCGCGAGCAGACAGCGGGGCCAGTTGCTGAAGAGCCGAAGCGTCGAACGTGTTGACATGTTGTCTTAAGGCTTTTCTCGAGGGGGGCCAGATTAGCGCGGCGTGCCGAATCCGATCGCGGTGCTAAGAACTCCCAGAAGACCCACGAGTAGCCGAAATGCCGAAAGAGTTGGTCGTGTCCCTCTGGGGGCTGTCTTGGATCACTGGGGGGTCGCATTGAGGGTTGTTGCGATTCTCCTCCTCCTCCTCCTCTTCCTCCTCTTCCTGTCCTGCGTGGCTCTTTTTTGTTCGACTCTCATGGGTCTGGGGGCTCGCTTTGAGTTGCTGATGTGGTCTGCTTCCGGGGACGCATCTGAGGCATCCCTGTGGAGCTGCACGGGATCCTCTCGGGCCTTTTTTGTTTGCAGCCTGGCGGTGGCCTTCGGGACAAGGTGCGGCCCTTCGTGGGCTCTCTTCGGCTCTCGTGGGGGTCGCGCGGGGGGGCAGTGCTTGAGCAGTCTTAAGCAGCCCAGGGGGCCCTCTTGGGCGCTATGGGGCTCCTCCGGACCTCTGGACGCCATCTTGGTGCCTCCTGGGGCCATCCTGCAAGACTCGTCGAAAATGAATGTATGGTTTTTGTTTTCGGTGCTTGCGGTGGGCGCTACTTCAATGCTGGCATGAGGTATTCGGCCCAGGCGCAGGGGTGTCCGAAATCCGGCAGTACCCTCACAGCATGGAATCGAAGGACGCGTTATCTGACAAGTGCCCGAACCATCGAGCGCTTCGATCTTGAACAGCGTTTCAAATTATATTTGACGAGTCCTGTGGGGGTCCACTTCATGGGGCCTTCTGGGGACGTCTGGGGGCCCGTCTGCGGGGTGGTGGGGCCATCTTGGGGCGCTCCTGAGATTGCCTTCGAATCGTCATGGGGTCGTCTTGAAGGCCATGTTGGGAGTGACTTCCCCTTGCTGGCTCTTACAGGACTCTGGGGCCGAAAACCGAGAATGTCAGAAATGCACGAAAACCAAATGATCGTCATGATTTGATTAGTCGGGGGCACCCGCAGTGACATCCTAGATTGTATTTGGGCCTCCTGGGTCCGTTCTGAGGCGCCTAGGGCAGCTTGGAGGCCACACCAGTGGCCTCTTGGCGCCGTCGTTTGAGGCCTCTGGAGGCACTCCGGGCCGAAAAAGCTCGCTAACCGGGGCCGAGGAGTCCGAGGAGGTCCAGGGAGGGGGGTCAGGGGCAACAATAGGGGGGGATATGCAAAGGGGGGATGCATCGAGCCCCAATCGCCCACTAATCGCCGATAGGAGCCCGATGGCCCCAGCCTGCCCTGGGAGATGCGCACACACTATGGGGGTCCTACAGGGCCGTTTTTAATACATGCTCCGCGTGCGGATCATGTATTAAAAATGCAGGGATTTTGTATCAAAACAGCGAAGAGTTTATGCATAGATTCATTCATACATTGATCATGCATGAAAAAGCCCAGATTTTAAAAATCCCATGTAGTAAAAACTGCCCTGTATCGCCGATCGATCGGCGATGTGTGGCCGATTCCAGGTCGACGCATCCCCCCTTGGCCTATCCCCCCCCCTTCTCGTTGCCCCTCGAGGGGGCGCCTCCGTCGAGGAGGCGCACAAGCAAGCAGTGCGGGCCGGCGCGGCGGGCCACACGTCCGTGCGGAGCCGGCGCGCGCTCTCCGGCGCCAGAATCGGGCGGCGGTGGCCTCGCCCACGATCGCCAGCTCGGGCGGCGCCCGAGAGCGCCGACTCCGCCCAGGACCGCGCGGGCTCGCTGTCGGGGGGCCTATCGCCGAGGTGCCAGCGGGGTGCCTCGCCTTGGCATCGCTCGGACGTGTGCATTTTTCCTTCGGCGAGGGCCATCGAGGAGCATCCTTGATCACTTGGCGAACAAACCACGCACGAAACCGAAAAAAGCACAGGAAATGGACGTCCGAGCGATGGCCAGGTCGGGGGGCCTATCGCCGAGGTGCCAGCGGTGCCTCGCCTGTGGCAGCTCCAGGCCCCCCGCGCCCTGAGCCGGCCGCCCCCTGCTCGTTCCCCCCTCCCTCGAGGAGCGAGGTGGTTTTGGCTGTCTCTCCTGAATCTGTGGGGCCTCCTGGAGCGCCCGTGTCGCCACCGCCGCCACAGATGGATCCACCACACGAAGTTCTGGCGGCAGCGCATCCGTGTCAGCGTGTGCCCATCCAAGCGCGTGACCCTTTGCGCATCCCCACCAGCCAAATGCAGCAGCGATGCCCGGGCGAACTGCCTTGGCCCAAAAAGATGGGGGGGCATGCACTGGAATGAAAAGCTGAGGAAGGCGTGCCTCTCTGGGGCGTTCTTGGGAGGAGGCCACTCGGGGCCGTCTTGGAGCCACCTTGGAGCCTCTTAGAGGCATGTTCGATGCCATCTTGGATGAGGCCGATTAAACAAGGGGGGGCCCAAGTAGCGCAGCCCCTCTAGAGCTCCTACCATCGCCTTTTGAACCCCTCGTGGAACTCTCTGGAGACAGAAGGACAGCTATCGGGTTAGGAGGATGGGGGCTGGGAGAAAGTATCAGATCATCCGTACTATCGCGTATGCTGAAGGTGCTTATTACTCTGTCGTGCCCCGTATCTTCCCAACCCCTTCATCCCAGCACGATGCGGTCGAGCATACGATTAAGACACCTCCTCCCGAAAAGCTGGACCAGCGTCTCTTAACAACTTTGCCTGAAAGGTGGCCAACGACAGTTCTATGAAGAAAATCATGGAGGCATCGCGCGGCGCGTAATAGTTGTACGATCTAGTCCACACGTCAACTCCGTAAGCTTTGGGTCGACGCTCGCGCGGTGATGCTCCTGCGTCAGTTCGACGTACATGTGTCGCAATTCCGACGTAGTCCGACGCAAATCCGACGTGGATCCGACGTAAATCGGGTCTCAAGTTGCCGGTTTTCCTCCTCCTCCTCCTCTTCCTCCTCCTCCTCCTCGTCCTCCTCCTCCTCCTCCTCCTCCTCCTCCTGCTGCTCCTCCTCCCCCTCCTCCTCCTCCTCCTCCTCCTCCTCCTCCTCCTGGTCCTCCCCCTCCTCAGGTCCTCCTCCTCCTCATTTTCCTCCTCCTCTTCGGCCTCCGGGTGCCCTTCCCACGCCTCGGGGCCGCAAAAGAACGGCTCGGGATGAGAAGCCGGGCCCGGGGAAGGAAAGGGTCCAGACCTTTGGTCGACGTCGGGAGGAGAGGAGGAGGGAGATGAGGGAGAGGAGGAGGAGGAGGAGGAGGAGGAGGAGGAGGAGGAGGAGGAGGAGGAGGAGGAGGGGGAGGAGGAGGAGGGGGAGGGTCCAGACCTCTGGTCGACGCCCTGAAAAAGTCATCACGTCGGGGGTCTGGGAGGAGCCCGGCCGTCCCGGCACCCGGGCATCTGGCCAGGCACCCGGGCGCCCGCGGCCGCCCAGGTGGGGCCCGAGCAGCTGGGGGCGGAGGGTCGCGCCGCCTCGCCGACGCGTCACCGAGGCATCGGCGATGCAGTTATGGCCGATGCCTCGGCGATGCGGCGCGAGCCTCCATCGAAGAGGCCTCCTTGAAGAGGCCTCGGGCCCCATCGAAGAGGCCTCTAGGCATCTAGGCCCCATCGAAGAGGCCTCGAGGCCTCGGGCCCCATGCGCTCGGGCCCCATCGAAGAGGCCGCTAGGCATCCGGCTGGGCACCCGGGCACAGGGCCGCCCGGGGGACGCCCAGGCACAGTCCTGGGCACGGTGAGTAGTCACACTCTCGGGTGCCCCGGGGGCTCTCTGCACATGCCCGGGCCGCGCGGGGGCTCCCCGCTCGCGCTCGCGCACCGTGCGCGCGCTGGCTGGCTGAGTTTCAGAGCGTGCCGCTCAGCTGCGGCCAGGCACGCTGCGCTAGGACGAGCGTAGCGCAGCGAACCTGGGGCTGACTTTTGGTCGGTTGAAAATTTTGTTCTCGAAATTCAACCATTCGTTAGAGCTCTAGTATTTATTTCCACCACATTCGATCTCATTCCCGCTCGCCGTCTTGATCTCAGCTCGATCGGATACCTTTTACTGCCAAAAAGCGTTGCGGCGGGATCGGCCGTTTCGACCATGGGAGGCAGGAGGAGGGGGGCAGGAGGAGGAGGAGGAGGAGGAGGAGGAGGAGGAGGAGGAGGAGGAGGAGGAGGAGGAGGAGGAGGAGGGGGAGGAGGAGGAGGAGGAGGAGGAGGAGGAGGAGGAGGACGAGGGGGGGTCTTCGCCATGGCCTTTGCCATCGCTTCAGGGCGGCCGCTCCCCTCCTCCCGGGGGTCTGCGCCATCGCCTCCCGGCGGCCGCGCCGCCCTCGCCTCGCGCGCGGCGTCGGCCGGCTTGCTGGGCGTGGCCGCAGACGCCACCTCCATCGAGCTGCGCCGTTCGTGGCTCTAGCTCCTCCTGGGCATCCGCCCACTCATTCGCCTCCTACCCGTCTCCCTCCTCGCCTTACAGCGCCGGTTTACATACCTGCTCCGCGTGCGGATCATGTAGTAGAAATGCAGGGATTTAGTAATAAAAACAACGATGAGTTCATGCACGAATTTATTCATAAAGTAATCATGTATTAAACTCAGATATGTTTAAGAATCCTATGTATCAAAATTGCCCTATATCATCTTCAAGCAGTGGCGAAGCGTCCTGGCTCGCCCATAGGCCCACCACAGCATTTTCTGAGAACCCTTCCGTGCTCTGCACGAAATGCTCTTAGAACATGTCTGGCCGAGACCGACTTGTGTTAACACGTCGGGATTATGTTCTAAGCACAGCGTTGCTGTTATTAGAAGATTTCTGGGTTCTAAGAGAATTTCGTGGTAGGCCTACAGGAATGCCGGGACTGCCGGTCCCTGCTCAACATCTCCCTCCTCTTCATCGTTCCTCTGTTCCTCCGCGTTCTCCTGCCTCTCGTGCTCACCCTCGTCCTCCGCCGCCGGCATGCTCTGGCTCCAAAGTCACGCCTAGGTCTCAGACGTATAAGCGGCGCGGCCACATTCTAGGCCCCCTAGATGGGGTCCGAGCAGACGGGGTCGGGGGTTCGCGCCGTGTCGCGATGCATCGGCAATGCGGCTCGATGTGGAGCCCGATTTCCTCCACGCTGGCGTCGCCCATGCATCGCCGATGTCGCCGATGCATCGGCGATGTATCCCCGATGTATCGGTGATGCAGCGCGATCCTCCGACCCCATCTACTCCGACCCCATCCAGGAGGCCTCTTCACATTCGCGGTGGCCGCGGGGCGCAGTTTTGAAGGGCGTCTTTCGACATGCCTGGCAACAGCAACATCACTTCGCCTTTCACTTCGCCTCCATCCTTTGCCAGGGATTCGTGGCCCGCGACGCTGGACTCACTGGGGGAACACCTCGACAATCTGGAGCTCACCTTCGAGCAGCAGTCGCGGCACATGGGCACCCTCCTCGCGCAGTACAAGGCGGCCCTGGCGCAGCACAGGCAGGCTCTGAGCCAGCAGTTCGCCCAACCGTCGCAGCTCGGCGCACGGACCCCCACGTGGACGCAGAGGCCCGGGGGCGCAGGCGCGTCCGCGGGCTCCGGCAGGACGGCGGGGCGAGGTCGACTGCACACCATCGCCGATCCTGGTCGGGCCAGTCCTCGGCCCAGCAAGGGCCTGGCCAGGATCGGCGCGGGCGTACACAGTCGGCACATCGAGTCAAAAAGAGAAACAGCCTGTCAGCGGGTGCCCCGCAGAAGCGCCGGATTCCGTGGCGGCCTGGGGAGCTCCCGAAACGCTGGGGCATCTTACGAGCCTCCACAAGTCGACGGAACATGTGCCCCGGGATGCCTAGCAAGATTTCTTTCCCGATCAGTGCTTGCACCCAGGGCTGTCACCTGCTTATCCAGGTCATTGGCGCCTGGTTCTATGTCTCTGCCCCGTGCCCTCCTCGTGCCCGCCCCGTGCGTTTGCCTGGGCATCGCTCGGACGTGTGCATTTTCCCTTCGGCGAGGACCATCGAGGAGTATCCTTGATCATTTGGCGAAAAAGCCACGCACGAAACAGAAAAAAACACAGGGAATGGACGTCCGAGCGATGGCCAGACACCGTTATTTTGTTCCTAGCGCGTACAAAGTGTCTGCCCCCCTGCCAGGGGCTGGAGTTCACTCGGCGGCGAGCGAGGGGGGGGAAGTGAGACGGAGAAGGCCTTGTCAGAAGATTCGGAACTCCCCCGGCCTTCTGAGAAGTTGTCCAACCCTTCCCCGAAGACGAGAAAATTATCAGAAGGCGCGAGGGCTCTTGAGAAATCCCGCCGGCCTTCTGAGAAGGCCTTCTCCTTCTCACTTCCCCCCCTCGCTCGCCGCCGGCAAACGGATCCCATCCACGCGCGGAGTTGCTCCCCAAATCACGTTTTGCCACCTCTGGCTGTTCCAGAAGAGCCCGCTGGTGGCCAGGCCGAGCCTGGGCTTGGCCCGCCTTCCTCGGGGAGGTTGGGCTCTGATCCCTTCTTGTTGCGTTCCTCGGGGCTGCTTGGTCTTCTTTCGTTATTGTGGCGCTCCTCTGGGTTGCGTTGTCTTGTTTCCTTCCCGTGGCCTTCCCCAGTGTTGTGTGGTCGTGCTTCCTTACCGTGGCCTTTCCCGGGTGTGCCTTGTCTTGTTTCCTTATGTCATCCCGCGGGTTGTTCGGTCTTGCGTCTTTCCTGCATTCCCCGGGCTGTTTGGTCTCCTTCCCTGGCCGGCCTGTGCTGACCATCGCTCCTGTCAAATGGTGCCGTCGGTTGCACGCGCGTTGATCGAACAACCGCGGTTTGCAACAACCCTTGCAAAATATGTCCACGCGGGCACGCGCGGGTCCCTGCGCGCGCATGTCGATTCATTCGGTACCCTTGTTTTCGTTACTTGTTATTGCTCTTCAATGTATGCTTGGTCAAGCAAACACACACCAAATATTCGCTTCACAGCGATGACGATTCTGTATTTTTCAGTGCGCGCGCACTTCCTCATTATCTTCACACCACCGCCACCATCGTCGCCAGCCTCATCATTACCACCGTTACCGTCATCACCATCACCCCCATCACCGTACCATGGTCAGTATCACCACCGTCGTCATCAGAATCGTTTTCGTCATCATCGTTGATGTTGCCCTCGCCGCCTTCGCCATTATCGTCGTCGCCGCTGTCGTCGTCATTATCACTCGCCCGCCCTAGCCATGAATCGGCATGAAAAGGATCCGCGAACCATTGCGCCTGTCGAGATGTGCGAACAAGTTCCGATTGGTAACTTCACTCACGGTGTCTTGAGTTGTGCCGCGAAGCTGTGGGTGGGCGGGTGAGGTTCATGTTCAAGCATTGCACGTGATAAGGCGTGGATCAAACAGGCAAGTCCATTTCCTCATAACAGCTATACTCTACCACTCTACCCGCATGCCGAGGCCGGGCTTGTTGGACGTCCTCCGATGGTTATTCTCCCCGCCTTTTGTCATACCCGACCGCCCACAGTACATTTCAAATAACACAACCCCAAACAAGTTGGTATCAACCTCCCCCCGTCATCGGTGCACGCGTTGATCTGACAAGTGCGTTGTGCATGGACCCTTTTTTTATCAGGTAATACAATATGGGCCATATATGCACGCCACCGCGCGCCCGCGCCTGTCAAAATCATTCAGAAGCACGCGGCTGCCTAAACAGTCAGAATCATTTAGTGTTCCAGAGTATTATTTCAGAAGCCACTGCTTCTCCAGCAGGGAGTGGCAAGGCTCCTGTGCGCTCGCGCCCGCTGGAAGCGCAAGGAAGCCATTAGGTGTTAGGTGTTTGGCCGGTGTGTGTGTGTGTGTCGATGGCGAGCTCTCGGGGCCGCCTGCCCGCACGCGCCGGAAGCACCCGACCATCGTGGCGCACCCGCCGGCTCTGCCCGCGGACGACACATGCGGGCCACATGTCAAGCAGTGGCGAAGCGACCGGGCTCGCCTATAGCCTTACCAAACAATGTTCCAAGAACCTTTTCTGGTTTCCACGAAATGTTCTTCGAACATTTCTGGTTGATATTGCTTTGTTTTAACACACCGGGTTTATGTTCTAAGAACATTGTTTTTGTTCTTAGAACATTTCTGGGTTCTAAGAACATTTCGTGGTAGGACTATAGGAATGCCGGGACGGTCGGTCCCTGCTCAAACATGCGCACCTCTCTCCGCGCGGGCACGTCGAAATCCTCGAAATTTGGAGCGACAAGGGACTTACAGTGGGGGCCCATGCCAAGAAGCACCCTGCTTGCCTCCAGGGTGCCCTGGGTTTCTTGGGTTTCGGCGAGTTCGCGATGCAAGGCGTGACGTTCTCATGCCGCAAATCATCGGACGCCCTGGGGTCTCAGGATTAGTTTTCTGGGGAAAATTTCTTGTGGTCGGGCCCCCACTGTAGTGGGCCCCGGACACGACAGAGCCGTTTTTGCACCGTTTCCAAAAAAAAGTGCCTCTTGAACATGGAAACGGCAAAAAAAACACGACGGCCGGGAACGGCAAAAGAAAAAACAACTCCAGGATTGGAACCGGAGCCGGGACCGGTGAACATACGGCGACGGAATCGGTAAAAAACGGCGTCGGAACTGGCAAAAAAACGGCAAAACGGAACCGGTAACAAAAACGGCATTGTTGTTTCCAGGGCCCACTAAGACAAGGGATCAGCGAGTGTTCTATCCATGTTGAATTGATGCATCTTTTCAGTACGTGCGGAGCGGCGCCGCCACAGAGCAAGTGCACTGTAATGATATACTCTCTGGGGGGGCTAGGGACATGTGGTGAGCACCCCATGCCGCGCGCTTACCCGCGCCGTGCGCACGTTGCACAAATGCTCGAGACAAGACCGTGTCGCACAATGCACGAAGTCGTCTCAAGACCATGTTCCCCCAAAAACACGGTGCTTGTACTCAAGGGGCTCGTAGTCTTGTCCCTGAGGAGTTGGACGGGTCCAGCGAGGTTGTTCCACCTTGAAGCCCGTGGCCGTTTCGAAGCCGCCTCGTGCGTTGGGTGGGTCCTGTGAGATTTCGCCACGATGCAGCCCGTGGCCGCCTCGTGGCCGCCTCGTGTGCTGGGTGGGTCCCGCGAGGTTTCGCCACGTGGCCGCCCGTGACCGCCTCGTGGGCTCAGAGTGTCTGGCGAGGTTTCGCCACGATGCCGCCCGTGGCCGCCTCGTGGCCGCCTCGTACGCTGGGTGGGTTTGGCGAGGTTTCGCCGCGTCGCCGTCCGTGGAAGCCTCGCGGGGGCACATGCGAACTACATACCCCACACCACATAGATTGGAACACATAGCTTACACCAGGTAGCTCACACGTACACCACATAGCTCGCACCACATAGATCTTCCTTTCCACAAAGAGGAAAAATAAATGACCCTACCACCACCACCACCACCACTCGGGATTACCCCATGGGACATTGCGAATTGAATGTGGTCATACATCATCATTCACTTTGCATTTGAATTCATATCATCAGCTGGAGTTCCATTATACACCTTCCGTCATCCTCGTCGAGTACTAATATGTTCGCATGCTCGTTTATAGAAAAGGATAACGTGCCGTGAATTCATAGCGAAAAATCATACAACATCCAAGCGCGCGCACAAGGGCTTCGACATGAAATTCTAAAGCGCCCTTAGGTGCTCCACCACGAATGTTACACATTTTCCCCCCGCACTTGCTGAAGTCGTAGGACAACAATTTGATGTTTGCAATTACGCCCGGAAACTGCACTCTCATCTCACCACGCCGTGCATCCGCGTTGGCCCAGCATGCGCCCAGTGCGCGAATCTTTGTCAAGTAGTATCATGCGGGCGACACGCGCGCGCCGCCACGCGAGCTTGTCGAAATCCGTCCTAAACCCTTGGTGTTCGAAGCAAGGCACAATAGAGCTCTTCAAACAATATATGCAAAACCGAACGTCTGTCAACAGAAAGTGTGCCAGGGTTCTTGGATTTTCCGCGCGCGCACTTCTTCACCGCCACCCCCATCAGCGCAGCCGCATCACGCCATCGTCATCCGCAATTGCCTCCATCGCCGCCACCATCACTTAAACACCCTCATCATCGATACAGGGACGGTGTCATCGTCCTCGGCCCTCGGCGTTACTAGCATCGGCGCCTTACCGTCGTCATATCGCCGTCCTCGCTACCACCTTCGCTACTATCATCATCGTTGACGCCATTGCCGACCTCATCGCGATACCGCGCCCGCCCGAGCAACCGACCTGCATTGAAGCGTCCGCGCGCCAGCGCGGCTTGTGACACGTGGTGGGGCGTTGCCATCGGTAAGCGCCATCGCGGCCGCGTCGGTAGGGCCAAGCCAGTTGGCCGCTCTGCGCACGAGTTTGCGCGCGCCAGCGCGGCTGCAGGCCATGGCCAAGCAGTCAACGCAATAGACGCCGCATGGGCCTTGCAAACCAAATTGCGGGTGGGAGGGTGGGATGTTTGCGCGGGCAAAGGGGTTGACAATTCATTGTTCCCATGTACAACTTAGCTGAGCCACATAGCTTGCGGCACATAACTTACACGGCACAGCTTACAGCCCACATCACATAGACCACACCGCATGCATCACATTACATAGCTGAT